GATGGTCGTGAGGCAACCCAAGTGGAGGAAACTTGTTTTTTTCTTTTTTCCTAGAAGCCAACACGTGAAGGTGGGGGAAAAGGCTAGGGTTTCCCTTTTTTTTAATATCTTTTTGTTTTAATTTCCAACTAGCTAGGGTTTTGGGCATTTGATAAATCCACACAAGGCCCCTTCTTTGGATAAGTTTTGGGCTTCTAAGAAAGCCCACTTAAATAATAAATTGATTAAAAGAAAACAAGACCCATGGACTCCAAAAGATTAAAAATGCAGACCTAACCTCCTTATACTTAATTAGTTCCACTAATAGAATTAAGCAATCGGCCCAACGACCCAGGACAAGTGCCACGACAACCCACTCACAGTCAACAACCATTAAATACATACATAAAACCAATAACTCACAACAATTACTACAGTAGTTCAAAAAAACTGACATAGAGCAATTAGATAAATTTAAAATTATCTCTAAGAAGAAACCCCCGTGACTCGAGGGTAACCTGACCTGAGTAACGCAGGGCCGGACCTGAGTAACGCGGGGCGTTACAGACTTCCCCCCTTCAAAAACTTTCGTCCTCGAAAGTTCGTTGATCGATCAATTCGGGGTAGCGGGCTTTGATCTCGTCCTCCCTTTCCCGGGTAGCCTCCTCCACTTGGTGATTCATCCACCGGACCTTTACCAAGTCAATCGACCGATTCCTCAGCACCTTGGTCTCTTTTGCTAGGATCTCAATGGGTACCTCTCTATAGCCTAAGGTTTCATTTAACTGCAGTGGTTCGAAATCCAAAACATGTGAAGGGTCATGGACATACTTCCTCAGCATAGACACATGGAACACATTATGCACTACCTCGAACGACGGTGGCAAGGCCAACCTGTAAGCGACTGGGCCAATGCGCTCCAAGATCTCGAAAGGGCCAATATACCTCGGACTAAGTTTCCCCTTCTTACCGAAGCGTAGGATGCCCTTCACTGGTGACACACGAAGGAAGACGTGGTCGCCGATGCCAAACTCCAACGCCCTACGCCTACATCAACATAACTGTTCTGTCTGCTCTGAGCCGTCTACATTCTTGCCCTAATCCTGTGGACGACACCGTTAGTCTCCTGCACCAACTCTGGTCCTAACAGGACTCTCTCACCGACCTCGTCCCAATGTACCGGCGATCTGCACTTCTTTCATTACAAAGCTTCATATGGAGCCATTGCGATTGTCGCCTGATAGCTGTTGTTGTAAGGAAACTCTATCAAGAATAGATGTTTGTCCCAAGAACCACCGAAGTCTAATATGCATGCTCTCAACATGTCTTCCAAAATCTGATTCAGACTTTCAGTCTGCCCATATATATTATTAGATAATGTGTAACGCCCCGTGTTCTCTGACTCGTTTATTTTAAGAGATAAATAGTGTCTTTGGATTTTTCCCTAAGTTGATAACTTTAATTCTTGAATTTTCTAACTTTGAAATTCTAATTTTTGGCTAAACTAGAATTAAGTTTAATTTTATTGGATTAAGATAATTTAAGTTCTCGACCTGTGTAGGAGATTTTTTTTAGTTAAATCTTAAATTCACGGGTTTTAGGATTTTCCTTCCTAAATTCTACTTTTCTTTGAATTATTATTCTTGGGTTTTAGAGTTTAAGTTAACTATTTTATTTCGGGTTGTTGTGGGGTTTATTTTATTTCTAAAGTATAATTATTGGGCTTTTGTTTTGGGCCATTGTGTTATTTAGTTGGGCCTCCTTTAAGAACAAGGGGTTGGGCTTTTAACTTTAAAACAAAATAAAGAAAAAGGGATTAAAACAAAAAGAATGTAATTAAAACAAAAAGAAAAGAAAAGGAAACAAACCTAGAATTCATCTCTTTCTCCTCACCCAAC